GGGGGGGAGGGAAAAGGACAAGAGGAAGGGGAGAGAGAAGATCTCAGTCTCATAGGAATGTCATACATTTAAAAAAGGCTAAAATGTGAGGAGCTCTGTGCTCGAACTGAGCATGAAAACCTTTATGTGGAGCAAAATCACAGGCTTACTGGCCTCAGATGCAATTTTACAGTTTTATTTTTTTAAATATTTGCATTGATTTCAGAGAGGAAGGGAGAAGGTGAGAGAGATAGAAACATCAATGAGAATCATGGATTGGCTGCCTCCTGCATGCCCCACACTGGGGATCGAGCCCACACCCGGGCATGTGCCCTGACCGGGAATCGAACCGTGACCTCCTGGTTCATAGGTCGATGCTCAACCACTGAGCCATGCCGGCCGGGCAAGCCCTATTTTAGATACAGATCCTTCTCAGGTGATGTCATTAAAAAAACAAAACAAAAAGGATCTCTGCAGGATAAGAACATGCCTGTTACACCAAGGGGAAGGGATTTTAGGAAGAGCGAACAGCAAGTCCAGGCCCTGAGGTAGGAGGGAACTGGCTGGGCCATGTGACAGGAGCACCTGGGTAAGTGGGGAGCAGCAGGGCAGCTGGAGGCGCAGCGGAGACCTGGAAAAGCAAGGTCTCGACCGCCCTGGTGAGGAATTTGCTTTGTTTGGATACAGCACTTCTCAGCGCGTGTTTGCACAGGGCCATCCTGACTGTGGGCATCAGCGAGGCTGCCACCGTGAGAGTCCAGGCCGGATAAAATGGTTTCGTGGTCACAGTGGGAAGAAGGAGATGGATAGGAGATGCGGGCATTTACTTTTTACATTCCTGGTCTCGTTTTACTTACGGAAAAACAGATTCCGATAGTCATTTTCTAAAGGTCTCATGGCTCATGCACAATAGCTGGTAGGATGTAGCCCCAGATCCGATTGCTTTCAGAGGCCATGTTCTTGCTATCCTAGACCTTTTCTTTGAGGCGACCAGTTCTTTTTATTATATGAATATGTATATCAGTTATTTATATATAAAAATGCATGTTTTTTCTGTCTGAGACCTTTCATGTTGGGAGACATCCTAGAAGCTAAACCATTACTTCTTTCTCAGGACATTGCCTTCTGTAAACACTTTGGACAGGTGCACCATCTCTTTTTTTTTAAAATATGTTTTATTGATTTTTCACAGAGAGGAAGGGAGAGAGACAGAGAGCCGGAAACATCGACGAGAGAGAAATATCGACCAGCTGCCTCCTGCACACCCTCCACTGGGGTTGTGCCCGCAACCCAGGCACACGCCCCTAACCGGAATCGAACCTGGGACCCCTCAGTCCACAGGCCGACACTCCATCCACTGAGCCAAACCGGTTTCGGCTGCACCATCTCTTGTACTTAGCTGACCAATGATTCTCATCATTGATGTTTCTATCTCTCTCTCCCTCTCCCTTCCTCTCTAAAATCCATAACAATATATTTTTTAAAAAGATAATGGTATTGGGTATACTTCAGATCTCAAGTGATCATGTGTATGTTTGCAATCCATTTTTATCTCTGGAAGTTTGCTTTTCATACTAAGGAGCTTGAAATGTTTTCATATGTTCACTAGACATTTCTAAGCACTCAGCGCAATGTCCCTGATTCAGATTAAATACTGGGTAAGGCCCTGGCTGGCGTGGTTCAGTGGTCAGAGCGTCGGCCTTCACATGCAAGAGTTTCTAGGCCCTGGCTGGCATGGTTCAGTGGTTAGAGCGTCGGCCTTCACATGGAAGAGTTTCATTCTTGGTCAAGGGCATGTACCTGGGTTGCAGGTTCCATCCCCACCCTCACTGCCAAGTGGGGAGGCCCTGGCTGGCATGGTTCAGTGGTTAGAGCGTCGGCCTTCACATGGAAGAGTTTCATTCTTGGTCAAGGGCATGTACCTGGGTTGCAGGTTCCATCCCCATGCTCACTGCCAAGTGGGTCGTATGCAGGAGATAACCAATCGATGTGTCTCTCTTCTGTTTCTCTCCCCCTCCCTCCCTCCTTTCCACTCTCTCTGAAAAGCAATGGGAAACATATCCTTCGGGGAGGATTAACAACAATAAAAATACTAGGTATTCGCTAATTGAGTGAGTTAATCTTTTAAGATTTGTAAGTGTGGATTCATAAGCATCATTTTCCATAAACTGTATTCAGTGTACTGATAAGGTAACCATCACAGAGATAAGGTATGACAATAATCATGAAATTGAGATTGTGAGCCCATCATTTTGGTATTACACATTTACAGCTCCAGTCCCTCCCACTGGCATCCTAACAATCACTGTAGATTAGCTTCAGAATTCCCATCCTGTCTTACGTCCCCTGCATATTGGCTTATTCTGCACTCTGGTCTCTCTTCTCTTTGTCAGGTCTGTATAGTTTCAGGGTAGTTCTTCTGCATCAGGCCTTAGATTCCCATGAGGCTACGTACATTGGTCTTTATCTTCAGATAGCTCTTGTTCTCACCATCAACCCCAGCATCCCAAATCTTACTTCCTTTCTGAATTCCCCCCTCTCCCCCCCAATAATAACACACAAGTTGGTAGTATTCCTTGTTACCACCCTCCTCGGTCCCCCATCCAAGTCCACACATACACATTCCTCTTCCTCACTGTGTGACAGTCCCTTGGTTACTCTCTCCTAATGCCTATGACTTTTGGCTCTTAGAATAAATAGTTGACAATGCTAAATCACATGTTCAGACTGGGATATGTAATAATTTTCATTGTTAGAGGAATCCCCTTGGTATCTACATGCCTGTTTTCCTCCACTTCCTTTAGTAAGCTAGCGTTGGCCCCCCAGGTTGGTGAATGACAGGAGCTTTCGCCCAACGCCGTTCCGTAGCTTACAGGATAAGCGTTCCTGAGGCCGTTCTTAAACAAGAGGGTAGCAGGGATCAGAACTGGGCAGCACTACCATCTGCCAGACAGAAGAGGGTCAGACTCTAGGATTCACTGGCGATCTGAACCGAGGTAGTCCGGGGCCATTTCTGTTTTACTACAATTTTATGTTTCTCATGTGTTTGATGAGCATACTTTGTAGCTGGTCATTAATACTACAAAGCCAGTAATTCAGAGTTTCAGATGGCTGCTTAAAGATGTGCAACCATGTTTTGTGTGCACTGAATGAAAGTGTTTCCAGAGGACCCCCTCCGCCCTATTCATGATGTCTGGGCAGGCCACTTGACCTCAGAGCTAAAGCCAAAGGAGTAGTTTGTCTTTAAGGCCAGCGTCACTTTCCAGAGAAATACACATGCTTGAAACCTTGGCTTGCTCTGAGAGACTTCCTCATTGCCTTCAATGAAAGGTACGGAGGCTGAGGCTTGAAGATGGCCACAGCATCTGCTCAGTGACAGTCTGATTCCCTGAAAAGACTGACTCAGGCTTGGCTCCCGTGTCCGGATGGTGGGTTCTGCTTCCTTTTGTTCAGAGTTGGAACTCTGGCTGCATCTCCTGAGACAGATGCAGAGGAAGTAAATACGGGCAACGGCTGGGAAGGCTGGGTGTAACCGTGGGCTGTATTATTAGGATGTTCGGATATAAACAGTAGCAGACACGCTGCCAAAAACAAAAGCCAGCTCCCTCTGCACTGAAAATATGTACAGCTCTATTTTCAGCCTGATGGGAACGCAACGTGGGTGTGATCTATGTAACCGCAAGGGGTCCGAGGGCAGGAAAAATAACGTGTGGGCGGGGTCCGGTGAGGGTCTGGCGTTTCTTCTGAAGTACCTTCTCTTGCCCATGGGCACATGCGCAAGAACTTACCAGAACTGTGGATGTTGAATACCTGCAGTGGCCATGATCTTTTTGTCACGGAGACGATATGAACAAAAGACTAACTTAGTTTTTTTTATTTAAAGAGTCATGAACGTGGTCAGAGCCAGAAACTCTGTTTTGGTAACTTATCCCTCCAGAAGACACGGATATCTAATGGCCAAGTTTCTGTTTTCCTCATTTCGAGCTACTTGCTCAAACATTTGGGAATAATCTTGAACTGTTCCTTCCTCGGCCCATTCAGTCTGTTGCCATTCAGTCCTGTATTTGCCTCATGGCTGACAGATTCCATCAGGGCAAATCTGGATAGAGGGGATCATCATCATTGTCTTTGTTTTCCTCTTAAAACTCAGGTTATTAGTCTCAACACGATGGTTTCTTTCTATCGTGTCTCCTAGTCCGGATTTGGCCGTCAGAACCTTTTGCCAAGCCTCGTCTCAAGCCGGCTAAGAAGGGTGTTAATAGTACAAGGAACTGGCTTATTTGTTCATGTAAAAACCCCCGTCTCAGAGGTCACCTTTTGGAAAGGAGACTAACATGACAACAGGTGTGCTACATGTGTGTACTCAGAGCCATTCTTCGTTCCTGTTTCTACACCTTCGGGCTTTTTATGTGCCTCAAACACATCTCAGGACAAGATCGCTAATCTGGGTTACAATGATAGGCAGTGAAGTCGTCCATAGTATTTCTTTGTTATCTTTTCAATGTCTAAAGGTTCTGTGATAATGTCCCCCTTTAATTTCTGATATTGATCATTTGTAACTTTTGTTCTTGCTCGTCCTAGCTAGAGTTTTAGCAATACCATTGATCTTTTCAAGGAAATCACCTTTTGATTTTTATTTGTTTTATCGTTTCTCTCTCTTCTACCGCATTGATTTCTGCGAAATACGGTCTATCTCCCATGCACACTCCAAAAGAATGTGTCCTGTTATTGTTGCAGGAAGTGCTCTCTATGTTTGTTAGATCAAATTGGTTGATAATGTCTTTCAAGTTTTCTGTATCCTTACAGATTTTATGTCTACTTGTTTTAGCAGGTACAGAGAGAGGTGTGTTAAAATCTCTAATGGTCATTTAAAGATTATGTTAAATTGAATAAAAATGACTCTTATATGCCTAAGTTTTATCAAAAATCTCTCCAGAGCATTAATTATCGATTGCCTTGTGTGTATTGTGAAAAGGTATTTTTTCTTAAAATAGTTTTACCCACTTTGCAGTCAAGTTTCAAAGGAAAAGAGGGAAGTGATGGAGCAGTATGTGCACTTGCAGCTGCTGGAAGAGCATCCCACATGGCTTCACTGTCTGAAACTCAGTCTCTCTTCTCTCCTTCAGATAAACCGGGAAAGCTGGTGCACGATTGAGCCGTGTGCTGATGCAGCCTCCCTCCTGGCTCCCCCGCAGAGCCCAGGTAAGCAGGGGTTCCCCTCCAATTCGCTTGAACACCGCTGTCCAAAATGCACATGTTCTAGAGCCACGGTTCCACTCCAACACGGGGCCGTTCAATTTGGAGACCTGTTCTTCCTTAGCATGCTACACAATACATAATACAATTTCTTAATCCAGTGAAACTATGAATATATATTGTGAAGGACTAAGTCTGTGGCTCTCAATCGTAGCTACACATTGAAAGTATGTTGGCAGGGTTGAGCTATGGGGGCATGGGCAAAAAGGTGAAGGAGATCAAAAGGTGCAACTTACAGTTAGAACGTAAGTAAGTCATGGGATGTAATGGACAACATAGGGAATCCGGTCAGTGGTACCACAATAACTTTGTGCCGCGACAGATGGTTGCTAGAGTTCTCACGGTGTGATCACTTTGTAAGGAATATAAATACCAGATCACTGTGTTGTACACGTGGAACGAATATAATATTTTATGTCAACTGTAATTAAAAACAGCTTCACATTCCAGAATGAAAAGAAAAAGGATCTTGGGAGCGTTAAGATACACGGATGGCTGGGTCCTACCCCCAGAGCTTCTGATTTACTTGCTCTGGGGGGTGTGGCCTGGGCAGCAAACTCTTCCAGAGCTCCTTTGGTTGCTCCCCTGTGCAGCCGACCATTAAGAACCGTAGACTTTGGAAGTACTGTCAGGAACTGAGTCTTTCCCTCAGGAGGTCTCAGTAACAGTGGGTGAGGGTGTTGCTCATAGGACCTTGCTTGGTAATAACAGCACGCGGCTGTGGTTGGTGAGGAGTCCCGACTGTTTGCCCAGGTTTAGCCACTAATTCACGGGGACGAAGGCGTGTTCCCTCATGTCTCTGTGCGCCATTGTCTCTGACCTCCCTAACATCACCAGCTTTTCCTATTGGGTGTCACCCGAACGCCATGGTGGGCAGCTGTAGCCATTGCCTGTCCCTGCAGCTGCCATGAACAGTGGCTAATTACATTCTGGCCTCTTAAGGCTACATTCCCCCCAGAACTTCTGTTTACATTTCCAGATTTTAATAACCTGCTTTAAAAACTACTGAGGCATCATTTAAGGCGTTTCTGGAAACCATTTGCCCGTGGTTGTACTGCAGTAGTCTTACATTTTAAGGCAAATGTCATCCTGGCCTGCATGGCTCAGTGGTTGAACTTCAACCTATGAACCAGGAGGTCACGGTTCGATTCCGATTAAGGGCACATGCCGGGGTTGTGGGCTCGATCCCCAGTGTGGGGAGTGCAGAAGGCAGCCAACCAGAGATTCTCTGTCATCATTGATATTTCTTTTCTGTTCCTCTCTTCCTCTCTCAGAAGTCCATAAAAGTGTATTTAAAAAAACACACAAAAACAACTTTTAAAGACAAACTTTAAATCCTTTATTTCCAGAGGGTTTTCCTACTGATTCTCAACTCAGTTCACTCCAAAGGAAGTGTTGGAAACAGACACGCAGAGTGTTTTTCTCTACTTTTGTCCCACGTGGAGAAAGCGCTTAAAGGATATTAATGTGCGCCCTAACCGGTTTGGCTCAGTGGATAGAGCGTCGGCCTGCGGACTCAAGGGTCCTGGGTTCGATTCTGGTCAAGGGCAAGTACCTTGGTTGCAGGCACATCCCCATGGCGGGTGTGCAGGAGGCAGCTGATTGATGTTTCTCTCTCATCGATGTTTCTAACTCTCTATCCATTTCCCTTCCTCTCTGCAAAAAAATCAGTAAGATATATTTTTTAAAAAAAGGATATTTATAGGCTATAATTGTGTTTTAAGCCTCCACGTGTTATAAGATTGATTCTGTTCAAATGCAGCTGAAACGTCCCCAGTCCAGCCCCTTAGAATCTTTCATTTAAAAGTTTCCCCTTACTTTATCCCATAAGCTGTCGGGGGCTTTTTCTAAAAGTGTCATTATTCCCAACCACCCAAGCAGTGAACTGTCTGTCCTGTGAAGGTGAATGAGTTTGCCTCACAGTTTGAATATTCACAGGAGTTTCTCCGTGTGCGGTAGTTTCATTTACTTGTTTAAAGAAATGATCTTGAATTTTGTTGACACCCCCCAGCCCCCACCCCAACCCCAAACATCCCCCTTTGGTGTTTTTAAACTTCAGTTTAACAAAACCCAACATCTGGTTTATGCTTCTGAACTTAAGACGTGAGGTTTTTTACTTCCAGGCAGAGTTTTTTTGGTGAATTCTAGGCAGGTTTCCTTCTTTGGCTTTATGAACACAGCTCAGGCCAGCAGTAGGGTTAAACCCAATGAGAGAATATCTTTTAAAACTACTCCGTATATTTTTAAATTCTGGGTAAATAAATGCAGGAAAGCACCACGCTGAGCCCAGTGAGTGCTGCTGGTATGTTCCTATGCTTCCCGACCCCGACTGTAATTTGTTTGCAAACATATAATTTTATACCCAGATGACTAGACAGCATCGTTAAGAGCACACGTTTTGCTCGCTGTGAAAAAGCTAATGGCTCAGGACACAGAACTTGTTGACATTTGTGTAAGGGTCATAAAATGGGTCTCGCCCACCTCAAGGCCTGACTGAGGCTCCTTGAGCCACACGCTGCAGGTGAGTGAAGCCCTGACTTCATTAGCGAGTGATCACACTCCAATGGCTGTGTGTGTAAGTCATTTCTAACTGTCGCTACAGCTACTTCAGGGAGCTCCCCATCTTCCCGTTTCACTGATGTGGACATGGAGACTGGGGGCTAAGTGACTTCCTGCCTGGGACCTTCCTGGCGATAAGTAGTCAGACCGAGATTGAAGCCACGTTAGTCTAACTCTAAGGCTTTGCCCATTCTTCTTCTACCTTCATGCGCTGCTCTATCTTACTCATTAGGAAGGGGCCACATAGGAAGAAAGGAAAGATTTTACTCCTTTTGAAAACTTACCAACACACGTGAGCTGGGGTGTGGGTTAACTTGCCTTTAACCCTCCTCCCCCCATTTGTGGGGTTTCAGAACGGCTTCAAGTCCTTTCCTATCCTTTCTCCTGGTTCCCCTGCCCTGCCCCCTCCCTGGCTCAGCAGGCACCAGCATCTCCCACAGCGACGACGCTGATGTTCCTCCGTCTGGGTCAGTGGTCCCCCAGTGGTCCCCGTGCTGCCGGCTCTCTCCTGGGGGAGGAGTTGCTGCGAGGGCCGCCCTGGGTCCTCCTGTGGCTTTTCCATGAGAATGTGTGGGGCGGGTGTTTTCCAGCCTGGAGCGGGGACGTGCTCTGTGAGGCTGCCAGCTGGACTGTTAGGGCTCAGCTCAGTGGCTGGGACAGCCCTCTCTCTTCCTGGCCAGCCCCCCATTTTCCCTCAGCCACAGGACGGGGTTTCTGATTTTTCCACGTGTGGAAAGGGGAAGGAGTGGAAAGCTCACACCCACCAGCTCCACCCAAAGTATCATACACTCTGAACTGTGTGTGTGTGTGGGGGGGGGGCACTCCAGAAGACCCGTGATTTTTGTTTTTTTATTGATTTCAGAGACAAACGGAGAGGGAGAGAAACATCAGTGATGAGAGAGAATCCTTGATCGGCTGCCTCTTGCACAACCCCTACTGGGGATCGAGCCTGCAACCCACGCATGTACCCTGACCAGGAATTGAACTGTGACCTGGTTCATAGTTGATGCTGAATCACTGGGCCACACTGGCTGGGCGAAACGACACTCTTGTTACTGTATGAGGCTCAGCCAACTGCCTGGCAGCTCCATTATAATGAAGCCCTGCTCCCTTTGGTCTGACTGCTGGAATGAAGAGAAACGAACTTTTTTAACGTATTGATTGAATACAGTCTCTTTTTCAGAATGTGAGAACTTCCTGGGTGTCGGGCTGGGCCCGGAGTGTGCCCCCACAGAAGGTGAACTGAAAAGAGAATCCGGGAGTGACTCCGACCTCTTCCACTCGCCCAGCGAAGACGTGGACAGCATCGTCTTCTCCAAGGTACCGCCTGTCGCTCGCTGAGTGGGGCCTCGTGGGCCTGTCTCTGGCCCTGCCGTGGTCTCTGCGGGAGCAGTGTCAGGGGCCCTCAGAGAGGGGAGCATCAAGGCCCCGGGGGCTTTGAACAAGGCCGTGGCCCCTTTATTTTCTTCAGCATCACGCAAGAACTGGAAGTGAATGAGATCAGATGACAATGAACCCTTGTCAGTGGGAGGAAGGACCCGGCTCAGACTGCATGATGTCATGTGTATAAACTAACCACAGTCATTTCTGATTAATGCTTAGGCCTGAAGCTCACTGTGGAGCGGGGTGATGTCAAGTGGCTTAATTGGAACTTTCTAGATCTCTGCTAGGGAGCCCAAGCTTTCTCTCTGAAAAGCTCAGCCCAGCCACGTGAATCACCTCATGTTTTTCTTATAATTTGAGGCCCCCTAAGAGGGTGGAGGTGGTTTCCTTTTTTTTTTTTTTTTCACCTGGTTGCATCGAGTTCTGCTTTGTTTCCTAAGAAAACTAGAGGCCTTTCCCACAGCAGGGTCAGCACTGGCACGCAGCTCTGCCCCACAGGAGGTTGTCTCAGTAGTGAGGGGGTGAGGGGCAGGCGAGGCCGCTGTGAAGGCCCCTGTGTGAAGGTTCGTGGTGACTTTGGGGCAGTGACGGGACCAGTTGTGTCAGTGGGTAGATACATTCTCTAGGCCCGCTTGAAGGTGCTGTTGCAAAGTTATGGTAGAAGCATGGAGACTTGCCCGGCCGGCATGGCTCAGTGATGGAGCGTCAACCTATGAACCAGGAGGTCACAGTTCCATTCCCAGTCTGGGCAAATGCCTGTGTTGTGGGCTTGATCCCCCAGTAGGGGGCATGCAGGAGGCGGCCAACCACGATTCTCTCTCATCATTGATGTTTCTCTCTCTCTCCCTTCCTCTCTGAAATTAAAAAAAAAAAAGAAAAAGAATGGAGACTTTAACGTTCTGGGGTCTGGCCCACAACGTATTCAAGCCTCTTGAATGACCTTCAGACACTCTCATTGCTGTCCAAGCGGCCCTTGTGTGTCCCTTTGGCCTTCCCTGACCTTTCCTCCTGGCTCCTTTCCCTTGCCCTCCGCATCTCCTCCAGGGGCTTGCGAAGATTTGTGGAGCTTCAGGATTCCTGTCATGGTTGCTCAGAGTGGACTAGTTGGCTCAAGAGTGTGTCAAGTAAAAATTCCACGTACTTGGGAAGGTCTGTCCTTTTCTGAAGTTATTTAGGAAGAGGGAAACCAATAGCATAAAAAAAACACACCAAAAAAACCAGAATTTGGGTAATTTTCACTGTAATTTTGAGGTTTTCATTATAAGGACTTCTAAAGTCTCCTCCACCTGTACCACCAATCTCCTGCCGCACCCCCCTACCCCCCAACACACACACACACACACACACACACACAATTTCTGCTGAATGCCATTCTGGAGATGCTGATCTTTGAAAATAAATTGCTTTTGTCTGAGATAAATAGATTAGATAATATCTACGTTCCAGCTTTAAGTTTGAATCATCGCTAATCCCTGAATGGTGTCATGGATATGCACTGTTTTGTTTAAATGTTTCTGTGTGTAGTAAAAAACCTGATAAAAATAGAAAAGTCTTCACTTAGAAATGCTTGCTGCCTCCCAGTGCATGACACCTTCCCTGGATGTGACCATCTCTACAGAATAGTAGTTCTTTCTGCTCCCTAAATTGAATGATTTTCCTAGCTATGCAGAATTAGCATTTTGTATGTTTTACCTGCTTTTCAAACTGTTTCTGCTCCATTTATAAGATTGTTCATACCAGTGTTTCATACCAGTGCTAGATTTAGCAATTGTTTTTTCTCAGGGTGACCAGATAGGTACAGTTTTTAAAAATACATATTTTTATTGATATCAGAGAGGAAAGGAGAGGGAGAACTAGAAATAACAATGATGAGAGAGAGTCATTGATCAGCTGCCTCCTACAGGCCCCCCACTGGGGATCGAGCCCACAGCCCAGGCATGCGCCCTGACCGGGAATTCATCCGTGACCTCCTGGTTCCTAGGCTGACGCTCAACCACTGAGCCACGCAGACCCTGCGATACAATTTTTACTCCCCAAATGGCCTTCCCTGTTTTCACACCCGAGCCCTCAGGAAAGCAGGAGGGCGGTGCACTTTCCACCTGGCCCTGCTCGCACCAGGATGTCCAGTGGCCCCTTCCTCTTAGTGGCTCCGCTCCCAGGATGTGCCCAAGAGAGGTTTTGTAATGTCTTCTCTGGCATTATTAAGACCAGGGCTTTACATATGGACAGAGAAGGAGAGAGGCGGGCTGCTATTTACAGAGTACTTACTGTTCCCTCGACACCGAGTTTTTTAAATGTGTGATCGCATTTCATGATCCCAGCAATGCTGTATGGTGGGGGGTTTTATCCTCGGAGTCCCCAGGAAATAGAGGCTCTGCTGGGTTAAGTTTACTCAGAATTACTCTGCTGGCAACAGAATTGAGACGTGTTCCTAGACCTGACTCTAAAATTTGTTTAGTTTCCGTGATTTTGCTTTCCATCTCCAACACCTGCTTTAATAGCCACTGATTCACTAGAAGCACAGCAGTGGCAGGCGGCCCATCCGCTACTTAAAAGTCGTTCTCGGTGGCCGTCCGCCTGTGTTTGCAGGCCGGCCCCGAGTTCCTCCCCGGCCCAGTCCTCTTCGCCTCCTTCCTCTGAACTACAGTCCGTGGGAGAGCCATTGCAACATCTTTAATGCGAACCATGAGTGTGCGTTAGGTCACTTCCTGCAGCCATCAGCGGGCCTCTGGCCTCACAGAGGTCCCTTTAACAGCCTGCCGTGTTTGTCACAAACTTAATAATCCCCCTCAGCCTGCCTCCTGCCAAATATTATGACTTTTTGGTGAGTGTTATGAGCTTCATGTTTATTCTCCCACCCCTGCCCCTGCCCCATCACTTTATGGATTATTTTATGTACACTTTGACCTGATGATACTCAGCCAATTCTCAGTGAAGTGAGAAAAAAGAATAAATTTCTTTCTTTAAAAAAATACATACATTGATTTTGGGCATCAGCAATCAAATTCCTATATCTTATTTGATTTTTAGAGAGAGGAAGGGAGAGGGATAGAGAGATAGAAACAGCATCAGTTGGCTGCCTCCTGCATACCCCCTATTGGGGATCGAGTCTGCAACACAGGCAATGTGCCCTGACCAGCAATCGAACCCAGTGACCTCTTGGTTCCTAGATCAATGCTTAACCGCTGAGCCACGCCGACCCGGCATAGATTTCTTATATTTAAGAATTTGTGGCCAGAATTTGGGCATTTATGGAAGATTTTAGGTGGGCTCATAGCCTGACATTTTTTCAGAAGGCCACTAAAAGCAATCACAGGGTTGCTTTTGGGATGTTACCCTCAGCACATCATCCCCGTAGCCAAGCACACAACCTTGTTTTTAGGTAAGGCTTGTGAGAATTGAACCTAATAGGATATCAATTTAGCGTTTCATTCAGCACAACCCCAGAGGCATAGGGCTCCCTTCATTTCAGTTGGGGGTATTGACTGAAGGAACTGACCTGTTAGAAAGGGACAATTGATGGGCTTCTAGTCTAGCACCCCTAGAGGGCAGAAAGAGCATAGGCCCTGGGCCCTACCTTTACTGGAGGCTATTTAATCCAGCAGTGATCACGCCTTAAAAAAGAAATCTCTTGAAGCCCATGCGATCTTGCCCGTCCTGCCCACCATGACGCCCCTGGCTCGATAGGGATAACAGGCCGTCTTCTTGGTTCTGCTCTTCAACCGCATTCGCTTCCTCCCCGTTCCAGCCCGAGGAAGAGCAGTCGGTCTGTGACATCACCGGATCCAGTTCCTCCACCGACGACACCGCCTCCCTGGACCGACACTCCTCGCATGGCAGCGATGTGTCCCTCCCCCAGATGCCAGCTCTGCACAGGTCCAGAGAGCAGCAGTCCCTCGACGGCTTCTACAGCCCCGGGGTGGGCGCAGAGGGGCGCGAGAGTGAGAGCGAGCCTGCCGGCTCAGGTGAGATGGAGGAGGAGGAGATGGACAGCATCACCGAAGTGCCTGCCAACTGCTCTGTGCTGAGGAGCTCCCTGCGTTCGCTGTCCCCTTTCCGGAGGCACAGCTGGGGTCCTGGCAAGAATGCCGCCAGCGATGGAGAAATGAGCCACCGGAGGTGAGGTGCCGGCTGCTGGGTAGTCTCTCTGTGTGCTTGTTTTTGAGGAGTTTCTGCTTTGGGGTTTTCGTTGGTGAGAGATTGAGTATCTAAATTACCTAAAAAACAATTTCTAAAAGCTTTTCTTTTCAACTGTATTTATGCTGTACTCTTTTTTTTCCCTTAAAGCATTTACACCTATAGAAAACATAGGGTGTAGGAAAAGATTCTTACAGCCAGACGTCCTTGTCTTAGATGATAAGTGTCAAGAAATGAGTGTTTGCTTTATGTAGAAGTCATTTTTCTTTATAACCCCTGTGGCTCCCTTTGCCATGGCCGTGGTTGCAGAGCTGGATGGGCCTGTATGGATCATTTAGCTCAGGTGAGGAAATTGAAGCTCAGATTCAATGGTTTGCCCAGGATTACATAGTGATCCTTTGGTTGAACTAAGAGAAGAACCCTATCACCTAAATTATTTGTATTTTCAGCCTTTAATGAGAATCTCCTATTTGAGCTTCACATTAAGGACTACCCAGCATTATGGTCCCAGGACCTCTGGAGATAATGGGATGGGGTATCACTTTTAATTAGTCTGACTAATACAGTGACGAAATTTTAAGTGTTAAGAAAACCTGTTGTAAGTTTTGAATGGCCTTGGTCCTGATCCTTTTACTTTTATAATTGAGTGAACCTCATTCCCTGTCATCTGATTAACTCCAGGGAGCACGGAGGGAGCCAAGCTTGGCCTCCACAGAAGTGGCCAGGCCCCTTGGGGTCTGATATTTTTCTCATTCCACATCCCTTCATCCCTGACTTCCTGCTGTTTCTCTCTGGGGGTTGTATCTCTCCTGGTGTGATGTCTGTGTGTTCCATGTGTCTGTATCCATTTTGTTTCACCTCAACACTGACCTCTTCCACCATTCATTTCCAGTTCAATGCGCGTTCTTGGCGATGTTGTCAGGAGACCTCCCATTCATAGGAGAAGGTACAGAGTTCACTCACTCATTGGACTAACCATGTTGCCTCAGCATTTACTAACCAGCCTTTCGTTATTCTGCCTAGTCCAAGATTCAGCAGCTGTTTGCCAATAGTGTCACATCTGCTCAGGCAGATAAGATACAGGAACTTGAGTGCCGATGCCCATTCCCCATGAAGTAGGTTCTTGAATCTACAGTTTTGGTAACAGGGTCTCCCCAACTTCCTCCAGAACAGTTTGAAGACATGTTGATGCTGTGCCTCTCAATGGGCCCGAGGGAGGAGTTTTTCTTTCCAAAAAAAGGGGGTGGTGGGGTGGTGGTGGGGAGAAGAACCAGAAATACCTGCTTAATACAAAGTTTAAAAGAATTAAATTAAGGCCCTAGAATATTTTCAACACATTCTTTTTTTAAATTTTTATTTATTTATTTCAGAGAGGAGGGGAGAGAGATAGACACATCAGTGATGAGAGAGAATCATTGGTTGGCTGCTTCCTCCATGCCCCCGATTGGGAATTGAGCGCACAACCCAGGCAGATGCCCTGACCGGGAATCGCTCTGTGACTTTTCCTGGTTCATGGGTCAGCACTCAACCCCTGCGCCCCGCCAGCCAGGCATGAAGAGGGATTGTTAACATTAGCTGACGGTGTTTGTGGGGAAGCAGGCGAATAGTGCTCTTTCCCACTGTGTCTTTCAAGTGGCTGCTCCCTTTAACTCCAGAGTTAAGTGCAAAATTGAGCTCAAATACAAATATTCTCATGAATCTCAGATAACCTTGACTCTGGTGAAGGTTTTCTTCAGAGGAATGGGTCATAAGTCATGTCAGGCTCCCCATGGGAGCTCTTTAATCGGAACTCATTGAAACCATGCACTTGAAGACCCTGGAAGATGGCAAGTAGCTGGGTGCCGTCCAAGTTAGCGAATAGTTCCAGCGTCCCGGCCACTCGCTGACAGCTTCCCCCTCAGTCATATTCTGTAGGAAGAGGCCGAGGCATACTTGTAAGTTTTATATTAAGCCTTAACTAGTAAAATTGAAACATTCTAACAAGTATTAAAAGAGATATCTATAATATCAACAATAAAAAAATGCATTTTAAAAGAAGATGGAAGAGAAGAATAGGGATTATTTTTAATCTAAGACTTTCTAATTTGAAAACAAAGCCCAAGAACCAGTCAATGTAATCCCCCCCCCCCCCCCCCGGAATCGGGGACATTAGATGCTCTCAGAAATAGCCTTCTTTGTGGAAGGTGTTTGCTGCTGCAGAAAGGGCTGTGTTCCTGCTGCTGTAGGACCATCTGCAGCTTCTGGGCTCTTGGGAAAGCATGTCCTGCTGTCTGTCTGTCTGCCTGTGGCTCTCCGTCCTCTTCATCTCACATTTCATCCCAGTCTCTCACGTACCATTTCCGAGAGGAAAGGGAATTTTAAGTCTGTAGAAGATTATTTCTATACAATAAAGTTATACATGTAATTTATAATTTGGTAATGGATGCTCAGTTCCTGGTTAACCACATTGTGTCATTAATGAGTTGGATATTTAGATGTAAGATGCCTCTTTACTAACAGGTAGGAGATTTACAATTAAGTTAACAATTGTACAGAATGTGAGTCTCGTGTCTGCTGGAACACTGCATGGAGGCTCCCTTCTCCTCACGCCAGTGAGCTCTCAGTCCATCTGATCTTGCTCTCCAGGTAGAGCTGTGCTCAGCTGCGTATGTCTACTCTCCGCTTCCGCACCTCGACCTTTACGCTGCTAATATAATCTGATTTAGAGTGTTTTACAATGGAAAGCATTTAAAAATCATAGTAACATTAAAGATTTTTACTTTACAAGGGCCATGGGGTAGCTCTTATATTTTCCTCCTCTCCTCTCCTCTCTCAAAAACCCCCATTTGTCAACCAAAGAAAGTTAGTAGGTGTATAGTAGGTGCTCCCTTATCCACCGGGGACATGCACCAAGACACCCCCCCCCCACCAGTGGATAGTACTGAGCCCTATATATACACTGTTTTTTCTATATGTACCTATGATAAAGTTTAATTTATAACTTTAGTAAGAGATGAACAACAACAACTAATCATAACAGAGAACAGTTATGGCAATGTTTTGTCATAGAAGTGATGTGACTGGTTTTGAGGCCATTATTACTAGATCGGGGTAACTTGGACACAGCGCTGAGATACCTAGACAGTCAGGCTGATGGCCGAGGCGGCTGGTGAGGAGGTGACTAAGCAGCGGGGACGAGAACAGCGGGGAAGCTGCACAAGGGATGATGCAGCTCCGGGTGGGCAGAGTGGGACGGGGAGACATTTCGTCACACTGCTCAGACAGACACGTGCTTTAAAGCTCATTATTTGTTTATTTCTGTAATTTTCCATTTAATATTTTTACACCCTGGTCACTGAAACCGTAGAGAACAAAACCGCTGAGAAGGGTCTGCTCTATCAAGACCTGAGGGGCTTTGGTGTCTGTGGGTCTTCCCATTTCCAAGGCTCAGGAGGGAGCTGAGTGGTTTTACTGCTGTCCCTCTTGTGAAAACACAGGCATGTCACAGAGAACTTTAAGGCCAAATTAGAGCAGTTTATTTTTATTTAATTTTTTAAAAATTGATTTCAGAGAGGAAAGGGAGAGAGATGGAAACCTCAAAGATGAGAACCACTGATCAGCAGTGCCTCCTGCACGCCCCCTACTGGGGATGGGGCCCGCAACCGGGGCATGTGCCCTGACCGGGAATCGCTCCGTGACCTCCTGGTTCATGGGTCCACGCTCAGCCACTGAGCCACTCCGGCAGGGCGATAGCCGTTTATTTTTAAATGCCAGCTTTTGTTAATAAAAGATCCCGGCCTGTTGATGCAGTTCTCTTTACAGAGTAACTGATATTTTGAATTGATTATTTTCTAGCTGCTTATATTTACCCTTTTCAACCCCAGATTTTCTGTCCCTGCTGCTTGAGAATAAACAGCAGTGCTGAGATAAGGAAGTAGATGAACAAATGGATTTTTAAATTTTTGTATGACAATTCAGAAGACAAATTCCTGAGTATGGTATAACCCCTTTAAAAGAATGCCTTCATGCCCAGCTGGGAATGGCTCAGCAGTTGAGCATCAACCCAGGAGCCAAGAGGGCACCGGTTTGATTCCCAGTCAAGGCACATGCCCGGGTGCAGGCTTGGTCCCTAGTGTGGGATGTGCATGAGGCAGCCGATCAGTGATTCTCATTATTGATGTTTCTATCTCTCTCCCTCCCCTCTCCCTTCCTCTCTGAAATCAATAAAAATATATTTTAAAAAATAATCCCTTTATTATTAAAATTCAAGGAAATGTGACCATTGTTACATGCTTCATCTTTAGCATAAAGAGCCCCCTAGAGTAGGGTTTGAAGATGGATGTGAGTCTTGACTGGGTGTCCTTATTATGCAAGATTTATGAATTGTCTGGTTTAAATGGATCCTTACTGGAAACACATGAAAAAAACCGATGACTCAGTGAGCTGCCACCACAGTGTAGTCTGTCACTGTTCCTTTTACTCAAGGCCTGGAGATGCCGTGGTGAGGGGGTGCGGGGGTGTTCGAGAGACCGTCCGCAGTAACGGAGGCTGAAACCCCTCCACGGCAGGAGGCCAGTTAGGGTGGCTGTGTGTTCAGGCTTCCCCAGGAGTAATCGCGTTTCAGGTTGGATTTGTCATCCTGTAAAGCGTCAAGTAGTCACTCCCGAGACATTACGTAGAGGGACATCAATAGAACAGTGTTTAGGTTCCGTGGGTTTTGTTCTAGCCTTTTCTAAAACAATGTTGCACTTCTAATTTTTTGCTGTTCAGATAAATCCATCTGTCTCTAACTGCCCTTTCTTTTTAAACCCATCACCCCGTCCCTGTGTCCTCTCTTCTCCCTCTGTTTCCATTTCTGTCTCTGATGTCGTCCCCAGTATGAGCTGGTGTCCCTCTGGTGTGCAGTGCTCTGCTGCCCTGAGTGCCGACTTTAATTACAGAAGGTATGGTATCGTTCCGTGTGCAGCGTCACGGGGGACAGAGTGTGGCGCGTGGGCTTTGGCTTGGACTGGCTTCCCTGGCTGGATCGCACATGCGGCCTGCTTTGTCTGTGCGCGCACCGTCCCCTGGCCTGGCTCTCGGCATCGCTAATCCGGTTGAGGGGCGCAGCACTGAGGTCGGCTGGTGTGCCCTGCGCATCCCGTTTGTGCCCAGAGGCTGTGATTTGGTGTTTTCTGCAGTCTTGGCTCCATGGTGTGCTCGCCCACGTCTCTGTGTTTTGGTCTTCCCTCATTCCCAGACCCAGGCGTTCCCCCTTCTGACACCAAGTCCCACCCATCGCTTTAGATCCCAAATTCAGACTCCGAAGTTCATGTTCTTCTCTTCACTGAGTAGCCGCATTTAATTTCTAAAATATTTTCAGGGTTAAGTTTTGTGGGAAGCATAGATCTGGTTTTCTCAGGCTTTAAGTCACTCACAATAGAAAACTAAATTTCTTCTTCATTAGCCTGTCTTCTTATTCCTGGTATTAAAAAATGGCTTTTACAAGAGCCATTACTCGTACTCGGAGTTAGTCATCATTTCTATTGTCAGATTGAAATCAGGAAAACAAAACTCATTGTTTAATTTACCCACTAGAGAAAATAGAGGCATCTGGTTTCAATTCATAGTGAGTAATTTGTGAAACAAAAAAGCAAATATAAGCTTTCTGGACTGGCATTTGTGAATTATTTGTGGCAATTAACTGTACAGCTTGAGCAGAAAGAACTAAATAGCTCCAGTCTCCCTTCCAATACAATTCAGCTGCTTATTGGAAAGCAGCTTCCTCTGTAGCTGTAACAGAAGTGAGCCACTCTGGCTAGAAACCTAAGGAGGAGAGCGGCTGACCTCTCTCTCAGCCACCTGCTCATAGGAAGTGCTTTTTACTCTGCAAACCACAAACTTCTTTAACGCAGGAATCCCCCTCATCACCCCACCCCCCACCCCCAGTCAATATCAGGACAAAAAATTAGGACTGAGACTCAGTGGCTTTCAGCTTTTGTACCTTAAGGTGCCCTGTGTGCCTGTCTACAGCTAACAGTGGCAGGGACCTGTGGAGCATCTGTGCGACCAGCGCTCACAGATGAGAACGCTCATAAGTGGCACTTGGGTTTCCTGGGGGTGGATGCCCACCTGTGAAGCTGTGAAGCTCAGCCAGACGAGTTGAATGTACAGTTACAGGTCTCCTTACTGGACTCGGGGGCACATCTGAGTCTCCTGTGTGCCTGCTACAGTTCCTTATGCTCATACGCTCTGTGTGCCATCCGATTATTTGGCATTAGCAGAGTTAGAGTTCGGGAAAGAGCAAGGGAAAACACATAAATAAAACATCAGTATAGTCTGTCAATATGATCTATTGAAAAAAATCTGAGAAAATGACCCTAGATCAGCGGTTCTCAACCTGTGGGTCGCAACCCCTTTGGCGGTTGAACGACCCTTTCACAGGGGTCGCCTAAGCCCATCCTGCAGATCAGATATTTACAGGACGATTCATCACAGTAGCAACATGACAGTTATGAAGTAGCAACAAAAATAATTTTATGGTTGGGTCACAACATGAGCAACTGTATTTAAAGGGCCAGAAGGTTGAGAACCACTGCCCTAGATGGTCCAGTATTTGGACAGTTGAATGAGGTAAGAAAGTCTACGTGCAGATTCTCTCTCAGCATCCCATGCCTGTGAGGGAAAGGGAGGCGGTGCGCATCTGTGCTGTGCCCTGGTAGCCTTGACGTGTGGCATGGAAATAACATACGAGAGATACCACGCCACGGGGCTCTGGACCCCTTCCTTTCTGGGACTTGGCAATGGGGGAATGAACGCCTGTGCTCTGTTCAGTTTCAGCCTGGAAGGTTTGGCAGGAGGCGCTGGGGGCGGAAACACGCCATCTTCATCTCTGGAAGGAAACTCTGCAAATGCCCAAGAGCTCAGGCACCCGTTCGGGGGTGAGGAACGGGGTGACTCTCTGGTGTCCCTTTCAGAAGAGGATCTGGAATCGGGCCAGAGAGAACATCGGATGTTTGGTCATCAGGTAAGGCTGACATGCGGACATGTTGCTAATTTGGAAAACCTCCATTTTATTTTCCTAACTGTATCCTCAGATTAGGAACAACGAAGGCAATAGCCATGTTAAATGAGGCTAGCAGCTACGATGACTTACCCTGAATCTAGTTCAAAGCCAGAACTAGCACTTAATACTAATTAAAGAATATCATTAATCTGCATAGATTTAAATACACCATCAAAGCAACTTTTTTTCCCCATGAATCCTTACCCAAGGATATTTTCCCATTGATTTTTTTAGAGAGAGTGGCAGGGAGGAGGAGAGACAGAGAGAGAGAAACATCTGTGTGAGAGAGACACATCAATTGGCTGCCTTTTGCATGTGCCCCGCCCAGGGTGCTCAGGGCCAGGGATCTAGCCCTCAACCAAGGCACATGCCCTTGATCAGAATCGAACTCAGGCCCCTTCGGTCCCAGGGCTGACGCTCTATCCACTGAGCCAAACCGGCTAGGGCAAAGCAACTTTTTAAAAAATTAGGAGCCTACCCGGGATATTAAGCTGAGATTTTCCTTCTTTTATCACGCCAGGAGTAAAATGAGTCTCGGAAGGTGTTCCATAGCATTACTGAATCTCCCAGTTCTCAAAAGCATAGCACAAGCAGCTCCTTCCTGGAAGAAATGTCTTCTCTCATCACGTCTAGGAAAGGACTGTTCTCGCTCTCCTCCCTGTCGCTGCCTACATTGCCTTCTTAGTCTCAGCCCTGACCAGCTCTTACTGTCTCTCACGGCGACTCTCTTGAACGTCCTTGTCTTGAAGGTCCTGGTTTCCTTCTCTCCCAAATCAAGTGACCTTTTCTAAGTTTTTTATTGTATTTATTGGGGTGACGTTAATTAATAAAATTATAGAGGTTTCAGGTGTGTAATTCAACAATACATCATCTGTATATTGTACTGTATTCACCACCCCAAGTCAAATCTCCTTCCATCACCATTTATCTCCCTTTACCTCCTCCACCTCCCCCCACCCTCTTCCCTCTTTTTTATTGTATTTATTGGGGTGACGTTAATTGATAAAATTATACAGGTTTCAGGTGTGTAATTCGACAATACATCTTCTGTATATTGTATGTGTGTTCACCACCCCAAGTCAGTCTTCCCTCCATCACTGTTTATCCTCCCAGTACCCTCTTCTACCTCCCCCACCCCCAAAACATTTCTAATTAAACAAGCAAACAAAAATGTTAAACAGCCTGTACCAAGAATAGGACACACTTTTTAAAACTGTCTTTTGAAGTAATTTTTATTGCTTCCTATGTGGGGGTGGGGGGGGGTGTTACCTTAGTGATCAGTGTGTCCCTGTGGTCACGTGCAGGCCCGAGGGAATTCAGGCCTAATGAAGAGCAAGTGAAGGCCTCAGGGGCTGTCCCCGTGCCTGGCCTTCCTGCACCTCTGCTAACTTACAGGTTTTATCTTGTGTGCAGCTTCGGAGCTGGTATTCAAGCTCTTGTATCTCATGTGGACAAGTTGTCTGCAGCCACTTCCTGTTAAAAGTCTCTGCCTTTCCCTGAGGTCATGTTTCAGACCTCACAGTTGTATTGGAAACATAGCAACGGAGCCTCTGACTCCATGGTTACACAGGAAACAGCTCTAAATAATCAGAAGTCGTCCTCAGTGCCCTCCAGTGGAGTGAACGCCAGTAACGGGGTTTCATTGCTTCCCTTCAACGCGCAAGTCAGAAGGAGGCGGGTTTCAGCCTGCCGTGAAGGGAAGGGTTTATCATCGAGTTATTGCCCATTAGAACGGGGGCTCCCCAAACAACAGACGTGCACTGGGGACACTGCCTGATGCTGTTTCAGAGCTGCTACTGCAGGAGCCTCTGCAGTTGGTGGGATCAAATGGCCTTGAAGCCGCATGAGTTTGCTGAGGGAGTTAAGTGATCGCATTTCAGTCACCCTCACGCAGAGAAGCAGTCTGAGCTGCGAAGAGGAAGTGAGGAGATTTAGGCTTCTTTCCAGATACAGGGTTGCTTTGCTTGTGATCTTGAAACTCTTTTTCTTGCATTTCTGTTTCCAACTCTTCTAAAAAGATACATACTTTAAAAACCATATTTATTGATTTCAGAGAGGGAGAGATAGAAACATCAGTGGTGAGAGAGAATCATTGACCGGCTCTCTCCCCCATGCCCTCCCTACTGGGGATCGAGCCTGCAACCTGGGCGGGCATGTGCCCTGACAAGGAATCTGATGGTGACCTCCTGGTTCATAGGTCAGTGCTCAACCACTGAGCCACACCGTCCAGCTGTTGCCAACCCTTTTTTTTTTTAATTGTTTCCAACTCTTTAAGATCAGAGTATTATTACTGTACTTCTGTAAGAGACATTTAGGTTTTCAAAGAATAAGAACTGCAGCTTGTTTGAAATTTCTAGTGAATTTTTTTACCTGAGGATGCGTTGAGCAGGTGTTAATTAAACCCTCCCTCAGTTTGAAACGTTGTTAGGTATTCTTGCCACTGAAAGGGAGGGATACTCTGATTACCCCCAGGTCACAGATAAGAAACGAAGGCTCAGAAGTGAGTTGCTTCTGTGCAGTTGAGCAGCTGCTGAGTGGGGTCTGACTGCAGAGCCCGCGCTGTTGCCCGGTGCTGCCTGCCTTCCCTGGCTTGCGCTGGAAGGTGGCGTTCTGTGCTCATCCGGAACATGAGAGCAGCACTTAGAACCCGCTCTCCACTTTCTGTTTGCAGACCTGTCACAGATCTAAGCAACAGGGGTTCAACTACTGCACGTCAGCCGTTTCTTCCACTTTGACAAAATCCGTCTCGTTAATGACCATCAGCCACCCTGGGTTCGACGGTGAGTATGCTCCTTTTTAAAAAATTAACTATATTTAACCCTTATTCTGTCTTTTTTTTTTTTTTTTCACTTTTACTCCCTATAACATTACCTTCCAAAATTTGCTTGCCTCTTCCTCTGCATGAATGGCTCATCATTTAAACCAGCGGTTCTCAACCTGTGGGTCAAGAACAATGAAAATACATCCTGCGTAGCAGATATTTACATTATGATTCGTAACAGTAGCAAAATTACAGTTATGAAGTAGCCACAAAAATAATTTTATGGTTGGGTCACAACATGAGGAACTGTATTAAAGGGTCGCGGCATTAGGAAGGTTGAGCGCCACTGATTTAAACAGAAAAGGGTAGAGAGATTTCAGTTTTGTGATCTTCCTCCTCTTACTACCTAAATATCTCCTAAATACTGTAAATTTATTATATTTGGGGACCTAAACCAGACACGTTTTTTAAAACTGTCTTTTGAAGTAATTGTAGGCTCTAAAATGAGGTGAAAAAACAGTACAAAGAATTCTTCACCAGGAGCCCCCAAAGTTAGCAGAGATGCTGCACAGGGCGTTTGCAGTTGAAAGATGCTCAAAGACATATTTGCATTGCATCCAGGTATCGGTCACAGAAAGGCAGCTTGTTCTTTAGAAACTCACTTATCGGTGTTATGAATAGTCAGTGTGAGACCTTAAAATTTTCCCCCACATATTTTCAAATATAATGTGATAAGGCTTAAATGTGGGTTTAAAGTTCTTAGCAGCCAGGTCCGTCTTTCTCGGACCAGAGTGTTGACTGTTAAAGAAACTAGGACACTGTCCCTCGTGTTCTTTAAATGGCTTCGTCTAACGAACACCCTTGTCTGGGAGCAAAATACTTCCTAAAATCAGCCTCTGCCATACTTTCCAGCTTTACCTTTGTTCTGTCTTCTTCCTTCAAAGAAATTGGCTGCTTCTGCCAGTCTTGGCCATTTGGACATTTCTGAAAGTGCTCATTCCCGGAGCTGCCATCTGAAATGTCATGTATCATTTGTTAGGTTAGAAAAACAGACACACTTAGCCTTACTTCTAAGCCGGGATCCGTTGCAAAAATCCAGTGATGTAGAGGAAAATAGTGAGTAAAGGTGGTGACTAAAGTATTTCTGTCTCATTTTCTGGGCGGAAAACTAGACGGGCGGCAGCTCACTCGGGAACACCCCTGGGTGGGAAAGCTTCCTAACTCAGGTCCTGGACTTGCCGCGTTGATGGATGAACATGATGACTTGCCGACTCCTTCCTGAGGGTCAGAGAAGCTCTGGCGCTGCCTGTGTGGTGTGGGAAAGTGCCAGCAGGGCGGCCCTCAGAGAACCCGCTCCAGGAAATGTGTGTAGCGTTTCTCCTGCTTGCATCAGAGAGGACTGGGTGGAGACGTACATAGTTTCCTGATAGAACTGAAGCATAAGCTTCATTTTTGCTGTACAGAATAATTCTGTGTTTGTTTGTTTTTTAAAAATTTTTATTGATTTCATAAAGGAAGGGAGAGGGAGAGATAGAAACATCAATGATGAGATGGAATCATTGATCAACTGCCTTCTGCACGCCCCCTACTGGTTGGGGATTGAGCCTGCAACCTGGGCATGTGCCCTGACCAGGAATCGAACTTTGACCTCCTGGTTCATAGGTTGCCGCCCAACCGCACCTGCCAGGCAGGTTTTTAAGCTTTTCATTGCTCGCATCCAGCAGATGCCGGCAAAGGGTAGAGGACCTGCTTGGTCAGTTGCATCCCTGGAAGAACTCAAGTGCATTCGTGGCGGGAATGTTGAAAGGAGAGGTGTCCCCAGGAGATGTTTTCACTTCACAGGCTGCTTTGATGGGGTTTCATTCCCCCCTGCGTTTTGCATGGTTATCACAGAGAACGGCGTTCACAGTCGTGCTGGTCCTTCACGTCATTCGTGTGCCGCCTCCACTCCACGTGTGGGAATTGGCCGAGTGCTGATATGTCCCTTGATGGGAACACGGGCTTGTAATTGAACAGTTTGCATTAGACTGTGAAAGCGAAGTCAGCCCTAAGAGCTGAACTGTGCCGCTTGCATATGTAATAGGCAACGAGATCACCAATGAGGTGGCTAGAGGTCAGGGTGCAACCCCAGAAAGTTAGGCCTCAGGGCTGATAAGGGTTGTTTTGTGTGGTTTTTTTAATGTTTTATTGATTTTTTACAGAGAGGAAGGGAGAGGGATAGAGAGTTAGAAACATCGATCAGCTGCCTCCTGCACACTCCCTACTGGGTATGTGCCCACAACCAAGGTACATGCCCTTGGCCGGAATTGAACCCGGGACCCTTCAGTCCGCAGGCCAATGCTCTATCCACTGAGCCAAACCAGTCAGGGCTGATAAGGGTTTTTACCTCTATTTCCTCTGCGCACTTTCTCTTTTTCTGACTGTGGACAATGGGATGAGAATTGATGGTTTTGCACTTACTTTTTTAGAACACTGTTAGGAAAAGATAACATGGATAGATATGTCAGGACAAACGTTTAGTCAGGCAAATAGAGTTTTTTCTATTGGCCTTTAAGTTCAATAACAAGTGTGGAATATATGCATAGTTAAGTGCATGTACGTATTATATATTTTATATTACATACATACATACATACATACACCCTTTAATTTGTGGTTAGCAATATCAAAGTTCAGACCAAAACAAAAGTAGGAATTTGCTAAGTGAATTAGTATGTGGGAAGCAGGGCTGAGGGATTTGGGCTTCTTATCTGAGGGCAATGGAGTGACAGGTTGATTAAATTGATTAGTTCATTGAATGAAACGCTTCATAGAGACCACACTGAAGAGCGTGTTGGTGGAGAGGCGGGCAGAGCAGTGAGAGGCTGTTGCATGATTGCGATGGGAGTTTGCTGGCCTGACCCAGACCCTAGAGCAGGGCATTGGGAAGAAGTTGATACTCAGAATTCTAGAAGACCAAATCAAAAGGACCGAGGTGTGATGTCAGGATTCAAGGGCGGTGCCCACCTTTCTGTTTCTAAGAATGAGTTATATTTGGGTCCCACTCACCAAATGAAGGGGTAGAGGGGAGGAGTAGGTCTGGCGGAAAAGACAAGTTTACGTAGGTGCCTGTTTCGTTGGAGCTGCCTGTGGGAAACCCCTGCAGGTGAGCAGTGAGGAGAACGAAGGAGAGGTGTGGCCTAAGGTAGAAGCTATGAGTCACCAGTACACGTGGTGTGCGGTGTCGTCAGGAGGTAGGAGTGAGTGAGTGAGGAGCAGGAGAGCCAGGCTCAGAGCCCTGATGCTTTTCTTTGAAGGGAAAAGAAACTCCAGCCATAAGTTACGACCATTCAGAACAATTTACTTGTTTTCATAAGCTAACGAGTACATACTTGTTTTATGGGTTTTTTAAGCTGTGGTAGAGTTCTGCGTATTCAGAAATAAAGAGGCACGTGGGAATGAATTGCATCGTTTACCTAGACAGGAGCCATACAGGCCAGTGACGGTATTCTGTCCCGCGTGGGTTGGAGGTGCCTGTTCCCTCGTCCTGCTGTCACCGGGGCCTGTTCTAACGTCTCCCGTTAACCACTTCAGCGCAGCCGCGGCCGCAGCCCGCACGGCGGATCTCCTTCTCCGTCAGCATCTCTCCGCTCCTCCTTAAGTCTAAAACTCTCTTTTCTCTCGGCTCTTCCCATTCCAGTGAGGAGGAGGAGGAGCTGCAGAGTAAGTAGCCTCTTTGCTGCCCGGCGGCTGCTCTCCAGGCTCTGACCAGCACCGGGGATGCTCTGGGCTCTGTCCTAAGAA